CACTTACAAGAGTAACATCACTGTGAACTGTTTAGAGCCGAGTCTGTTTCTGTTCGTACCAGAATGACCGTACGAGTTAATTGAGTCACCACATGGTTGAGATGCAGCTCCCCTCTCTGCGCTGGACTGCTCCTGTTCACCTGTGGCCACACATGAAATGTCAATAAACTACAGCAACATCTTTGGACATTATGAGCCTTTGATTTTTAAACATATTCTACTGACCTGGATCAATTTGGGCTGTGGACAGGTCAGAATATGAGTTCTCCTGCTCTGATGAACCTAAAACAGCAGCTGGGCTCCCATCATCCCCCAAATCACTGAAAGAGCAGGAAAAATGTTATTGTAATTAAACAGTAATTTAAAAAAGGTGAGCCCATATAAGTAGATACCAACCCCGACTCTTTCTTCAGTTTGCCATCTACGTCAATCTTGGCCTTCTTTGCCTGCACATGCACAAAAATGCAGACACACAAGTCAGACAGCTCACACAATTTAAACAAAGCAGCAGAACACAGTCAGTTTTATTTATTTATGTAGTTTTAATTAAGAAAAAAAAGGTGCATGGGTTGACATTTATCAGCCACTGTGATATCAGCATGAATAGTAAATGAAAACCTTCTGGGTAATAGAACAGTTCTTTACTGCACTGAAAACAAACAATATATAATATAACATCATTATGATCTATGCATCTCAAATCGTCCTGTGTTACAGCCAAAACATTAAACACAATGTATAGAAAATTAGCATAAATAAAGTAGAATAAGTCCATAAAATAAAGGTAAATTAACTAAACTAAACAAAACTGCTCAGTTAGAGAGATTAGAGGGAAAGGGCTAAATTAAATAGAAATCTATAGTTTAAAAAAATACAGGAGTCCAATATGTAAGTAAAATATAAAAGGTAAAATAATGTTAATAAAACTCAAACTGAATGTTGAATATCAAACTCTAAAAAGTAAAACAGCTCACCACACTGACAAGAGAAAACAGCTGTACTCCGCTGTAAATAATTCTCGTGTATAAACAGATTTGTAATACTTTAATAGACGTATTTTGCGGGTAGCAGATGAATCTGCATATCATCGATTGTCTCAATTAACCATCAATTATCTTTTAGAAAATAAAAAGAGAGCAAAAGCCTTTTAATGTTCTACAAAAAAGATGATACACTGTGAGAGTATTTCCTGCCTCAAAACAGGCCTTTGGTGGTGACCATGCAGGTAATCATATATATACAAATAAGGCAAAAAGTCTGTATAATCTAATTATCATATCATATCATAAGTATATACACTTTCTTATCATTTTATCAGAAAACTTGACTGAACTTGAGTGATTAAGACCTTTAAAAAAAACCTGTTAAACGGTGGGTATGCTTGGGTATAA